CACAAAGCCATCGCTTAGTTATAGCTTTCTTGCTTGCTGTCATCATGATTTTTAGGAGATATCTATCAGCTTTTGGTATATTTGGGCCCATACTCCCCAAATAAATAAAAAAAAGCATTTAAATTCAATATCATAACCCAAAACCTCACTGACAGTTTGGCAAATACTCTCCCAGAATGGCTTAAGGATAGGACATCCCCAAAAAATATGGTAGAGGTCAGCAGGGCAATGATCACATCCCCATCAACACACAGGTGGAAGACCAGTCTGTTTACATACCTGTTTTGGGGTTCGAAAATATCTGATACACTTTTTCCAAGAGAAATCTCTCCATGTTTGTGAATTTGTAGTGGTATGTTACGTTTCAATTATAGTTTCCCATTCCTGGGATGTAATACTAATCCCCAGCTCTTTCTCCCATTTCTCTTTAACATAATGTGTGGAATTACCCTTTAATTTAATTAAACTCTAGTAAAGTTCTCAAATTATTTTCTGCTCAAGATCACCTAGAGGTGATTCTTGAGAGGGGGTACTGTAGGACTCCAGCTCTGCAGGTTTCTGAGTCCATGGTAGCTCCAATGAGCAGCAACTGCAGATCATCTCACTAACAAGCTCCAGGAGTATAAGAGGCTGCAGAAGAGCTCCCTTCCCTGCAGGAGCATTACATATCCATCGGTATTTGTGCTATTGGCCTCCTTGTGCTTACTTTAACCAAGATAATAACTTACCTCGTGTTTTCCTCATATGCTTCCAGAACCTGCCTCCTCAGCCTCCAGTAATGGACCCCTCGTCATCTACCTTGCATCTTCAATTCCTGTACCTACCTTTGGATCTCTGTAAACCTCCTCATGACTCACCTTCAGCTGCTCCACCACCATCTAACCACTTGGCTCCACCACCATATAACCACTTGCCATCTACTTATCTCTATGCTCCACCTGCACACTACACACCTTGACTTAATCAACCTGGAATCTTCTGCCCTCCTTTTAACACTACAACTGATCTACTCTCCTGTTTCCTAGAGTCCCAGCTGTAAACAATAGATAAAACTCTTCAATGTAAATAAAACACTTAATTACTAAGAGCTTGAGTCTATTTTCCTCAATCCATGTTTTCTGTGTGAACCCACCATTGTGTCATTTATTATCAGTAACACTCAGTGAAATGATCAGGCATTGATAAATGCCTTTCAGTTAGTTTATTTCAGTGGTACTATAAAGGGAGGCTGGACACTGAGCACCTTATGGTACTTTGCCTCCATCTCAACTGTCATCGGTTCTGCACCACACCGCAACAAAGGTCCTGCCCACAGCCTGTACCCACCCCACTAAACCAAGTTTATGGGACCACCTGGTTCATGGTTCCAACTGAACTCATCAGAAGTGATAATTTTGATGTAAGTAGACAACAGCTGTTGACTGGCCAGCAGAGCTTTGTCACTGGATGACCCACCCAGCAAACTGCAAACTACATATTTACATCTATTCCCTCTCTAATCATGTGGACAGATGGTGCCACAAGAAATTAGTGCATTTACTAAGATATATTGAAGATTATGGCACAGCATTGCTACAGCCGGACTTAAAAGCAATGCCGGGATAAGATAAAGAAGTTGAAGTCCGATTAAAGGACGACTAAGGACCACAATGGGCTGAGTTTCTTGAACACATTGAATAACACATTGACTACTTAGTTTTCCACTCACAGAGTGGGTAAACAAGTCACAGTGGCAAATCACCTGAGAAAAACCGATAAGATGAAAGCCAAGTGAAGTCACGCTTAATGTCAAAGTGGCTTTAGTGATCTATGGGTGCAGATGTAAGAGCACTTTGTTCCAGTTAGTGTATCGCTCATGCTGGTCTCAAGCCTGGGAAAATGGGGAGAGTTGTTTCAGGAAAGGCATCCAGCATAAAGCATGTTTGTGTATTGAGGCCAACTTAAAAAAAAAAAAAAACTGCCACACTTTCTGTGGACAAACAGTGGGCCAGTGACATTGTGCTACTGTTAGTCAAAAAAACACAAGGAAGGAAATGTGCCAGGAGACAAAAAAGAAGAGAATCAGGAGTGTAGGACTGAGGGTAGAAACTCTAAATTTAGGGAAAATTATAGGAAATAAAGAGCAGGCTGGTATGATGCACAGAAGGTAAGTAGATGTATTCTGTATACAAGAAACTAAGTGGAAGGTCAGAAAGACTTGTAGCACTGTGGCAGTGTTTAAGCTGTTTTATCATGATGTGGTTCAAAAGAGGAACAAAATAGGGGTGGTCCTGAAGGAAAAGTTTGCAAGGAATGTCATAGAGGTGAAAAGAGTGTCAGTAAGGGTGATGTGTCTGATGGTAGAAGTAGGAGGTCTGATGCAGAATGTCAGTGGTTTTGCTCCAAAGGGTGGATGTGAAGTAGAGGAGAAAGAGAAATTCTGAAAGGATCTAGACAAAATGATAGAACGTATTCCCTGGGAAGAGAGAGTGGTCATCGAAGCAGACCTGAATGGGCACATTATTAAAAGAAAAGAAGAAAATAGGATGGGATGGGTAGTTTTGGTGTCAAGAAAAGCAACCAGAAAAGACAAATGGTGGTGGATTTTGCCAAGAGGATGTTAATGGCTGTAATCAACACGCATATTCAAAAGAGAGAGGAACATAGGGTGACTTCTGCCTCCTTTGAGAGTTGATGCAGAAGTATGCAGGTAGACTACATTCTATGTAGAAGAGATTTCCTGAGGGAGATTGGGGATTGTTGTGGCAGAAGAGTGCATGGCCAGACAGCATCAGATGGTGTTTATGTTGACTGTTGAGGTGCAGAAAAGAAAAAGAAAAAAGTCAGAGAAAAACACCAAATGGTAGAAATTGAAAAACGAAGACAGTTTTGATGAGATTTGAGATGAGCTTCTGGTTAATATATATTTTATTCTGGCACTGGGTATTAAGAAAGAGTTTCCAGATGACTGGGCTACTACAGTCACAGTGATTAGATAGACAGGAAAGAAAGTACTTGGTGTGTCATCTGGACAGAGTAAAGAAAATAAGGAAATGTGGTGGTGGAATAGTGAAGTGCAGTAAGTGGGAGGTGGGACTGCATCAAAGACTCGCTCTAAACCTCTTATTATTTACTCTTTTCATGGATCGACTAATTGATGAGGTCAGGCAGGAACCACTGTGGACTATGGTGATTGCAGATGACATATGTGGTGAGAACAGGTGGCAGGTGAAAGAGACATTGGAGATGTGAAGGTATGCATTTGAAAGTAGAGGAATAAAAGTCAGCCATAGCAAGAAAGGTACATGTACATGAATGAGAGCAGGCAAGTGGAACAATGAGGCTACAAGACACAGAGGTCACAAAGGTGCAGGACTTCAAGTACTCGTGGTTTTATTCAGGCAAAAAGGGAGTGTGTTAAAGATGTGAAGAAGAGAGCCTGGGTCATGAAGTGGATGGAGAAAAGTTTCAGGAGTGATTTGTAATGAAAGTGTGGCAGCAAAGAGCAAAAGAAAAAGTTTACAAGAGAGTTGTGAGACCAGCTATGTTGTATGGTTTAGAGATAGAGACATTGACAATAAGACAGGAGAAAGAACTGAACGTGGCAGAAATGAAGATGTTGAGATTCTCCTTGGGAGTGACAAGGATGGATATGATTAGGAATGAGATCATCAGCTGTTAAGCACAGGTTGAACAACTGGGAGATAAAATTAGAGAGGCCAGACTGAAATGGTTTGGACATGTCCAGAGGAGGAACTGTAAGTAAACTGGTAGAAGAATGTTAGAAATGCAGCTGCCAGAAAAAAAGACAAAAGCAAAGGCCAAAGAGGAGATATATGGATGCATTTAGAGAAGATTTGGAGATAGTTTGAGTGAAGACAGAGTGAGATTAAGGAATACATTATAAGACACTGTGGCGTCCTCTGAAGAAGGAACTGCAGAAATAAAAATGAGAAGTGTCTCAGCTGCTTTACTTATGGCGGAATGGCTGTGATGGTCATTCACTTTAGCAAAACAAAAACACCTCCAAAAACTAGTTGGAAATGTTTTATTTTTTATAACACTGTCTTGAGATTCTGGGAGTTTGCGCAGAAAAAAAAAAAAAAGCAACTCTTGCTTTTGTTATGGGTACATCAAGTTAAACAGCATTCATATATATATATATATATATATATATATATATAAGTTTACAGATTTCTTACATAAAAAGTTCTTTGTGTATGCAGTAATGTGATGGAACAAATACAATGCATTCAACAATTTTAATTTACATGGACCTTAATCAATTTCTGTTTTAAAGACAAGCTAAAACATGCCCTGCATGAGTCTGCATGCACCCATCTTAAGCATGATGTATTCACATCAGTGTTTTGTTCTTATACTAAATTTCAAGTTTGTGGTAAATTTTAACCTGAACATTAAAAAAAATGTTTCCAGTATTATCCTTGATCTAGTGTTCATGTTTTGTTTTGTTTTGTCTTTTTCATGCATTCTATATGTAATAAACAGACCCATGGAGATCTTGGTCTGAACAACTATAAGCTAATTATAAAATATATATATATATATATATTTTTTTTTTTACTTAAACAAAGTAATGTGTGGGTTCTACTGGTCAGGACTCACCTCTCTGGGAGTTGTGGGTGTAAAACTCAGTTTTAATGTTCTGTAGTTTGAAGCAAATCAAATCAAGACCAGGTTTGACAAAAATAAATAAATAACTTTAGGTTTGTATGGACATTTGTTTCTATTTTGTAAAATGTATTGCATGTCTATTGCTTGCTCTTCTGGTCCAAATTTTAAAAATTAGCAGAGAAAGTAAAAAAGCGTAAAAATGCAACAATAGTCCACATATAACAAAGAAAAAGAATGCAACACTTACGCAATAAGTTGTCAAACATGATTTGAACCTTAACCTTTTGTTATCAAATGAATTTAAAAAATGTATCCAAAAAGGGCAGTCAACATTTGGGTGTGTCTGTTGCTACTATATATCTTTTGAAAAGGAGCTCTGCAGACACAAGGACCCAGCATTCTCTGTGCTGCTCAGACTGCAGTTTATTTACCAGGATATTTATCCACACAGTTAATCAGGAGATCATTGCTAACTGTGATAAATCAACATGAGGACTCTCTGTTCAATAACAGCTGTCCTGCTGATAGCAGCTTGTCTGTTTGAGCCCTCAGCTCAACAAAAACCTGGTAAGTTTTTTCCCCTTTTTTGTTAATCTCTACACTGTTTTTTGTTTGTTTTACTAATCCAGAAACTAGACACCCTCATTAACGTTAAGCCACCACTTCTCTAAAACCAGGGAACTGTCCAAGAGGCCCTCTGTTGCCCGTCGATATCCCGCCAATGCATTTACAATGTGACACTGATGATGAATGCCCTGAAGATTTAAAATGCTGCCTGCTTCGCTGCGTCCCTCCTATTCCACGTAAGTCATGTTCCTATGAAATGTTACAAAATGTAGAAATAAACAGCCAGATTAAATCAAGACATTGAATGTCCTACTGGTTTAGCTGAATAATGTGAATGTAATCTGACAAAAGCTTCACTGTGTCCTGTCAAAACCATTTAAAGGGTTTCAAGAAGAATCTGATGGGTCTTAGGATGGATTGAAATAGAATTTCTGAAATCAAAATTTGGTTTTACAATAAATTGACTTCTACTGTATGTTTGCTGATGGAGATTAGATTTTTACCCACAATTCATCTCAGAGACAGATGTGTTTCCATCTACTGTTTGGATTCATGTTGGAGTGGTAGTAGTATAACATGGTGGTAGCTGAAGCTCATTTACTAACAGACACAGTTAACAGCAAGAGCTAATGCCCAAATGTTCAAATAAAATATCAAAACATTTATTAGTGTTTAAAAGAATGTGTTGGTGATCATACTCAGCTATTACCACATCAAACTGTAAAACTGATTGAGTTCGAGTCAATTTTGTGTTTGATGAAACTGTGGCATTCAACTCGAATGAGGTTAACTCCAAAAACTAATAAACCGTAGATTCAGTGATTATTTCAGAAATGTTCTTAAAAGCTGTAGTGGTTCCTGATATCTCTTTCCCTTAAGCAGTGGGTGATAAAAACAGACTCCTCTAAAAACTCACATTTTGTCAAGACTCCACATTAAAGAAACAGGATTTTTAAAAAGTAGCCTCTAATAATATTGTTAAATCTATTTAAAATTTGTAAAAAAAAAAAAAAAAAATGTTGTGTTCAGGCAGTTAAAAAACAACTGTCTACATTCAAAAATCAAAACTTTCTATCTTTTCTGACAGCATTTCACAAATGTCCAATCCGAAGAAAAGGGCCATGTATTGAGCAATGTTATGAGGGCAAACCATGCAGATATGATAAAACTTGCTGCTTCAATGGCTGTGGACATCAGTGCATGACACCCATACCAAGTGAGATATGAATACGGTAGTAAAGGTCCTCAATTATTCTCTGCCTATTGTTTCTATGAGAATATTGATTGTTTGTGTTTTATCTATTTCAGTTCCGCCATGATTTTGAGGTAGAGGACAGTTCTTCCCTCACTGTCATGAATGCTGATGGTGATTGCAGATGTGACAAGAAATGTTGTCTGAATAGACGTGACTAAACCTGCCAGAAACATTTTTTGTTTATTTCTTTAATACATACATATTGATTAAAATATCAATACATTGCTTACCCAGCGTGTGTGTTTTTGCTTTTCATGCCTGTTCGTTCATTTTCTTTTTAAAGGGATTTTGTTATTTTTTTCATTTTATTGACATAATTGTCTGAACATCATCACAGTAACAAATCATTTGAAGTGGTCTACAAAGGTGTACTATGGGTTTTGGCTATAATTTTTTGCATCTTTTGGCTGTTCCCTGTTCCCATAGCATGTAAACAGGCAGATTTGGGAATTGTTTTCAGCCAGAAGCCCTTCATGAAGAAACATGGGCTCAAACATGCAGTCCCAGGATTACAAGGGTGTGGCACATAACCACTGAACTATCACAGCTTCTGGCTATGATTTTAGCATATCTGCAGTAGATGTAGATGAAATTTATGTTGTTTTTGTGGTAATGAGTGGAATCAAATGAAGCCGCAGTACCACAATGAAATGCTTATGAACACTATAAATCAGCCATCAGGAACAGGACAGTGGCTGCAAATACAACTTGCTACTCTTTTCCCCTTTTCCATTAGTAATGGTACAGCACGGTTCGACTCGACTCAGCACGGTTCCAAGGCTTTTCCACTATTAACAGTTCGTGGAACAGGTCCCTTTTTCTCTGGGGTTAGAACCGGGCCGAACTAGCACTAAAACATAACATCAGAACACTGTCGGTCACTGATTGGTCAGGGGGTGGAGTCACTGGTGGTTTGAGAAACTTTGACAACCACATGCATTAGGAAAACAACACACATACGTGCATTGCTTAATCACAGAAGTTGTCATCAGTAAATGTCAATGAAATGAGCAGGAGTCTCTGAATGCCTTTAAGTTGGGTTATTTCAGCTGTACTTTACAGGGAGATGGTCACAGACTAACTTGGTGATCTATTTTTGCAGCTAAAAGAGCACTTCATCCCAGCTAGTTTATAGGTATCTGTCATGCAAGTCCCAAGACTGGGTAAATGGGGATCAGGAAGGGGGTCAAGTCAGTGTGTATACTGTACTCCACAGGTTGAATGTAGAGGACAAAAATAAACGTTGAAAGGATCTAGATGAAGTGACAGAGTATCAGAGCAGACCTGCACTGACATATTGGTGAAAGTAAATGAAGATATGTAGACGAGATGGACAGGTTTTGAAACAAGGAATGTAAGCAGGAATAACAAATGGTGATGGATTTTACCAAGACGATATGTCTGTAGTCAACACCTATTTTCAAAAGAGGAATGAATATGGGGTGATCTTTAAGAGTGGAGGCAGGAATACGCCAGTAGACTACATTCTGTGTAGACGAGGTCTCCTGAGGGAGAGTGGGGACTGTTGGGGCAGGGGAGAGCATAGCCATCAGATGATGGAAAGTGTTGTATATGATGACTGTTGAGGTAAAAAATAGGAAACAAGTACTAAGTCAAACATAAAAACCAAAAGGTGGAATGTAATAAATGAAGAATGCTGTAAGGTATTCAGAGAGAAACTATTAAAGGCTCTAGGTTATGTGTCAAATTTAAGGCCCGGGGGCCAAATGTGGCCCTCGTTGACATCTTGTCTGGACCCCAAGATGATATTTTAAATGTAAAATACTTTTATCACTTTTTTTTTCAGTAATCTTTGAATATGATATCAAAAGTGCAACAGAGAACGTCAAACAATACTAATCAAACTCTTGTTGAGGAACTTGCAACCAATAAAAGATGTTGGGTATCTAACTTGAGTTAATGTAGATTCTGAAACCGGTCCTTAGTTTGAAAACGGTTTTAATTTTGGCCCCCTTTTGTAAGTGGATTTGACACCCCTGCTCCATAAGCAAGCGCTTCCAGATGACTGGGCTAGGGATACATGAAATTGGATTTTTAGCCGATATGTTAAAACTTATTTGGCCAATAACAGACAGATATTTTTAATATTGTCAGAACACAGCTCTCTTATTTAGGCTTATTTGCTACATTTGTGTAACGGCTGTAAGAGCTGGTGACATATATTCAGTTACAGCCATATGATATGCATAGCACTTTAACTTATATTAAATGAAAAGTGTTAAATGTTATTTATTAGCATTAGTCACCTGCGATGCTGTCTCACTTGTGGAGGCTTGTTCCTGGTTCCTAGCTGCAGTGTGGGATCCTCTGCACTCTTGTGCATGAAGGACAGTATTTTGAAGTTCAAAGTTTTTCTATCCATTGTGCCGTAAGACTAATCATGCCAACACGTCCAAATGTCTGTGGTAAAACTCACTCAAGTGCTATCGGCTATTAGCTTCTCAACGACGTCAGAAATGACGGCTTGTAACTCGAGTAAAGCTACGTTGGAAAAATATCTCTGACTGGGGATGATGTAGCAAGGCTCAACGTAGTCCAAAAATCTTCAGAATCCAACATCCTCAATGAAAAAAAACTTCCACACCGCTGACATTTTGACTTCTTCCTCTCTGCCGTGATCAGATCAGGTAGGCACATGTGACATCACGTTGTGCTGGTACTGCAGGCATCCTTGTCACTGGGTTGTCATACAAAGACAGCATCTTATATATTGGTGAGTTATTTTGATGGACTGGTCGATGTCCGATATTTTACTTTAAAACTAATATCGGACGATACCAATACCATGCCGATAATATCGTGCATCCCTAGACTGGGCTACTACAGCAACAGTAACTAGAGAGACAGGTAGGAAGAGACTTGCTCTGTCTTCTGAACAAAGAATGAATGATAAGGAAACCTGGTAGTGGAATAACGAAGTGCAGGAAGCTATTCAAAGAAAGAGGGTAGTCAAAAGAAACTGTCAGTTTACTAAAAGTGGGCCATTTAAAGAATAACCCAGATTCAAGTGAACACAAACTTTTGTTTTTGCAACTGTTTGCACACCAGCTGTGAACACCAGTGGACCGGCTTCCAGCTAACCTGATATCAACGTGACAAAAGTTTCTTGTTTGTTTTGCTCCACACGGTTTGTTATTATTTGCCTAAAAATGGGAACTAGGTGAACTAAGTAGCATTTTGTTTTCAGTCGGTATTCTGGAAATAATTATTCTAAATTAAATGTTAAAGGCCATGTTTTTTGGACAGAAATTACAGTAATGAGACACAAACCGTCTCAAAACATTCATGTGTTAATAACCTTTTTGGTTTGCTAAAACCATATTGACATAACAGCCTGAGAAAAAAAAATATTAAAGGTTTGAGTGTACCAATGTTATATCATGAGATACTATAAAATTGCTTTAAAATGAGAGGATGGGTTATTAATTCAACAAGACAGACCAAATAAAGTGAAATAAAAATCCTCAGAGACTAAATGAAATAAATTATTAATTTGTGTAAACAAAATGATTGGCTGATGGAAACTACATTTCAGTCATCACTGTCTCGACAACAGAAAAGGTAATTCTGACAAAGTCACTGTGATTGAATATGTCTGTTTATCTTTCTCCTGGATGGCAGATGACAAACAACAGGTGAAAAACACAAATACAACGGAAGCAATACACTGCCTGGCCAAAAAAAACAAACAAAAAAACCTCGCCACCTGGATTTAACTAAGCAAATAGGTACGAGCCTCCTACTGGATAATTACTGTATGGACTATTATCGTTCAGCTGGCAACAAGTTATTTAACCCCAACTGATGCAATGAGTTGCTTCTCCTTTCTTAACAACCATCCCTTAACAAAAAGTAGTACATTTGAAGTTTATTTTTGCAAGTATACTTTAAGTATACGTATATCAAGTATATTACACACCACACTTGGAGTGTACTATAAGTATACTGATTTAATACTTGTTTGGACTGAATTGGGACATTTTTATACTATTTTTAAGTGCCACAGTGAATGCATGATGTAATCAAAGCTAAAGGCGATCCAACAAAATATTAGTGTGACTTTTTTTTTTGGTGGCGACTTATTTTTTTGGCCAGGCAGCGTATTTCTGTGTCAGATATTTGGACCGCTGTGACTGAATCGATTTCAGAAAACATACAAATTTATTGTGTTATTTAGAGAAACAATGAACCTAGTAGAGTGTACAACTGGATTGTATTAAAATAAAGTTGTTTCAGACATCCACAAAACACTGAAATAATCACTATAAATTATAGAAATATTTCCCCCCCATTCAAGATGGCCAATGTCTAGAATTTTGTCACAAGTATTTCTTCTTAAAACCTTTAGGGTGAATAAAATAAATTGTCCTCTTCCATTTGTGAAATAGAAAACTTCAAGTTGACTCATTTAAATTCATCCCCAGCAGTGTTTGACTTAGTTTCTCCCTGATCTTCAAGTGTTTTTGTTTTGTTTTCCCAAACAAGCTCACTAATAAAAGGTCAAAGGTGAGCCCTGTTTGGAAGCCTCAGAGTGGTGGCACGCCCCTCATCTTGCGGATGACGTTGGCTATCCGCTTGGCCAGTCCTGGGTTGGGTTCTTCTACCTGGAAGCTTCGGGTCAGAAGGTTGTAAAGAGAGCCGTAGCCCACGGCCACAACAGTGCAGGTCAGGCAGATGACATTATAAGGCATGCTGAAGTCTGGAGTTGGCAGGTTGACCAACAGAGGTTCTGTGTAGACCCGCACAAAGTAGCTGGACTCCTCTTTGCAGGGAAAGCTGGTGGAAGATGGTAGAACTTTGACTTTAGACTAAAAATACAAGAAAGTTCAGACATTGAAATGTTTCTCTTAAGAAAAGCACAGAGAAGAAGCCTGTACTCACAAGCTGCTGAAAAGTGGTTGCTCCTGAGTGTTGTTTGTATCCATGGTGACGGTGCTTGGAACAAGTGCACTTATAACTGAAGACCTAAATATAAAAACAAATGTGTATAAAAAATATTTTTATTGTTTTAAATCCTAAAGGCAAGTATTTTTTACATTAAAAACTACAACAACAAGAACTATGCATTTGATTCACCTAAAGGAACTTTTTTCTAATGATCTGAAAGCAAGACTTTGCATATTGTGTTTATTGTTTATTTGTCATATACAGGTTAACACAAAGTCAACAATGCAAAGAAATGTTCAGGATGAGAAGAAGTTTTGACTCGCTATAAAAACAAGAAATACTAAAACATGCAATAAAAGTACAAATACAGTATCGAAAAGTGAAAAAGAAATATATTTACAAAGTACAAAAGAACTATAGTAAACATACCCAACGTAAAAGCCGTGGTTGGGATCAGGGGTGTACTCGGTCCATTTAAGCAGAGCCCTCTCAAACTGCACTGTAACCTCAGTAACGGAGTGAGGAGGAAGCTGCACCAGCATTTCCAGCAGGTGGGGCCGCATGCGGTCTTTAGAAGGCTGGTAGTGGATATAACCTGGTAAAAGAATCAAAACTTGAGAAACAACCTGTAAACTCTGTACAAGGTTCAACAATTTATTGTTCTGCGTACTTAGAATAAATTCAACTATCTACTGTAACAGACACTATCATAAAGTTTGATCAAAAAACAGACAACAGTAAATCACTGAAGTGGTCTTCCACCACAATCTAACAAAAAGTGTGATACAAGTACACCACCTTGTGGCGAAATAATGATGCTGCAGGTACAATAAAAGCATACAGTAGTATACTGTATCAAGAAACAAGGACTTCTGTTGGAAATCTGGACTAGTACCTACAGTGATTGACAGGTGAAAATGCTCCACAAACAGCTAAATGCACAGCAAACAGTTTAGGTGAAATGTGCTGCAATCACATGAACCATGCAAACTCCAAAATAAAAACCAAATGCAACAGAAAAATGCTGCAAAAGAAAAAAATCTGCAATCACAGGAAAAAAAACTGGAGAAAAAAACCATACAACCAACAAAACAAATGCAAAGGAAAAGTACTGCAAATCCCATAAACACGAAAACCCCCAAAACAACTGAAAGTAAGAAACTCTTCAAACTCAACTCCTCAAAACCAAAGTGCACCAGACAGAAGGGGGACTCACCCAACAAGTCATCTGAGACCAGACTGCCTTAAAGACATTTTAGATGAGCCACTGGACAAAAAGTGGCTTACATTAGAAGTTTAATGTGCAGTGAGAACTTAAATCTACAACCTATTTTATTTGAAAAAGAAACGTTTTCTAGTTATTTTAAGCGTGGCTGTACAAAAATCAAAGTGGTGGGGTCAGAATTGGTTTGAAAAGGATGGTAACCCCCAATAATTCATGGCAAAATCCCAAATGTCTCTGTTTAAAGCCAAGTACAGTACCAAGAGTATTTAAGAAACATATGTTCTGTCCTAATGTATCCATAAAATATGCATTAAGGTAGTATATGTTTACTTCATAAAGATTAGTGAACTTAATTACAAATATTTAGAAATGTGGCAAAAAATTGTTTTAAAAACTAGCTTGCTCTTTAAATTGTTAGACCTTTTTATAAAAACACAAATATCAGTGATATAGCCACATACTAAACACTAAAATTATTGGGAGTAGTTCTACTTTACAGTGACAGGTTTTAGAAATGTGCCATATCATCTTAGCTGGACTTACTGCTTGTTTTAAACCTCTATGCCCCAATTCAGAGAAATGTTCATACTGTAATAAATGTATCAAACACTTTCTTTTCTTAATATATTGTCTCTGGTTTTCCTTTGAAATAGCAAATTGCATGATTTAAAGCCCCTGTCTTGCCAATGTTTAATTTTCTGTCTTACTTTACTTTTTAACAGTAGCTAATTTGTTTCCTTACATTACCAAAACCTGTCTTTAGTTGAGAGATTTTAAAAATCCTTGCATACTAGGAAAGTATTATGACTTTAGAAGGTGGCTGCTCAGCTCCATTATCTTTACAGGGGTTCTAGTACATACAGGGGTTACTTAAGGGGTTCTAGTGTACATAGAGCTTGTGTACATAATCTCGTTCCACCACATGTACCACATGTAGGTGTATGACAAATAAATCTCTCTGAGTCTGACTCTAGTTATTACAATATGACTTGGTGATCGAGGCCCCCTACTGGTCTGGTGAACTTACGTTTTGAGGAGGGTTTGAGTGGTTTTTGGTATTTGCAGCAGTTTGTTCTTTGCATTTGTTTTGTTGGTTGCATGATTTTTCTTCCATCTATTTTTTGCGATTGCAGCATTTTTCTGATGCATTTGATTATTTATTTATGATTTTTTTTTTGAGTTAGCATTATTTGCGTGTTTGCAGCATGTTAAGCTGTTTGCGGATCATTTGCACCCGTTAGCCACCGTACATACTGGCCTGTTAAAAGTATGACTCCCAACTCGAGAAGAAGATTAAGTCTTTCTAGGGGTAAATGTTGCAAACATGGCAAAAATGTGTAATGACAAAACGAATAATGGTAAAAACATGAACACTAACAGCCATGTAGTTCAAAATGTCCTGATGCATGCTTAATAATCCAGGTAGAAAAATCCCTTCTGGACAGACTCTTGTTTGTTGAAACTTTTTGTCTTTTGGATAAAAGATGAAACGTTTCAACAAACAAGAATCTGTCCAGAGGACCCGACTTAACCTTGTTAAACAACAGCCTTACACAAACATTTACACAAACATAATAATTCAATTTTAAAAAAATCTGTATCATCTCATAATGGAAAGTGCTTCACTTCTAAAGTTGTAGAAACTATTTTGAATCAAAAACAGACATGTTACTGATAGGAATGCGTGACATATACGATACACGGTAGAAATGAGATATTTAGTCTATGATACAGATCTGTATTCTAACAGCTAACTGCAGTAATACTGTGTCTTATGTAAAATCAAAGTTGTCAGATTTAATTGTTACTTCTTTGAGTTGAACACTGTGCGTAAGTGGTGTTAAAGTCCTTTCTTCGAGAGCTAGCTAACTACAACCGGCTTGCCGTACTCGTATTCGGACGCATGCGCAAAACGCTGTGTTCCGTCAAAAGTTGTTTTTTTTTGTTGCAAGTTAGTTGGTCAGCTTTAGAGAGTGCATTTGAGCTAAAAAAAGGGGTAAACCTGCTCTCTGATCTGTGAAAATAATGCTGTGTTGTGTGATTTTACTGTGAGACCTGTCATTCCCTGATCTGTTATGGAACCTGATCTGTAGTGTAGCTCATTTGCGCATGCGCTAAAAGGAATACTTCCAGGTCGCACGGATTGCTGTTGAATATGCTAGATTAAGGAAAATGTACTGATATAATTCCATTTGTGAATAAGAACCGTCTTAATTTATTTAGAAAAGTATGTGCTCCATCTCCACCGATTTTCATGTTACTTATTTACACCACGCATATTTCCGTTAAAATCATTGACATATTTATGCCATGGTTAAAATCATATGCAGCTTCACCACCGAGAGGCGCTGTTTCACCATGGAAATAATTCATTCGGTATCTTGCAGGGTTTTTCTCAGTCAGCCCAGGCTGGGGTTCAGGTCTAATGCGTCACATATCATCTTAACCAATGATTTGTAACAGAAATACAAGTGGCATAAATTAGCTACATGAAGATTGGTGGAGATAGAGCATGTAGTTTTCTAAGTAAATTAAGACAATTTTTATTCATAAACAACGACAATCTGTGTGACCCGGAAGTACACTACGGATCATGCTTCTGTAACAGATTGGGGAATGACAAGACCCTCTGGTTAAAGCCACAGAGGAAACTGGTCACCATTTTGTGTCAGCTCTCCTTAAAGTGGAAGGAGACGCCAACTAGAGGGTTGGAGGGTGAAGTGTTTCAGTGTAAAATGCTGCTCTGTTGCTGTTCATTTATTAAGTGAGAAGACTGGAAACTGTTAACAACATATTCTTTTGTTTAAAACATATGGCTAAAACTACATTTGATATCTTTTGCACTGTTTTGCACTACAAGAAAGAAACCTAATGATTTGTTTATCATTTAAAAACTCTCTGGACCTAGTAGTGAAATTTTCTTAATTGAGATTATTTTGTAGTATAGCAGTTTTCAAAATAAATGATGGCAAAAGGACACTCTATGCTTTTTTTCCCATTCCTATTGCAAGTTTTATACCCAAAACATATTGTGATATATATTGTTACTGCCACCCATCACAATACATATCGCGATATGAATTTTATGCCTTATCGCACATCCCTTGTTACTGATTTTGTTTCAGAAATGTAAAAAAAAGAGCTTGGTAATTGAGATTTTTGTGCATACAAAAAAATTGCTGCAGTTTTACCCTCATCATTCTTTGTAGGAAAATTACCAGTTCAAGCCAACATCACAGCACATCAGAATACTTGTATCTGTCTGACTGATTTGCTTTAGGTGTGGGCCACAGTCTTTATGAGGGAAATTGTGAGATAAAAATCACTGTGCTGTTAAATCTACACAATATAAGTTAATTTAACTATAAAATTTGTGTTTGCTTTTTTCAGACACTAAACTAATGTTTAAAAAACAGTTTTAGTTTACATGAGGTCAGGTTTTCCAAATTGTTATAATGCTTATCTGCTTTTTAAGGATACAATAAACTTACTAGGCTTATTGTCTTTTCCCTTGCTGGTGACTGTGAGGGTGTGGACGTAGAGACGTAGATACCAAGGTACCGAGTCCAGCAGCAGCACTGGGAAAGACCTGAAGGGGTGATTGTTGTACATTAAGGTATGAATCTCTCCTGTCTGCAGCCCGTATCCAGCAACGTAACGTTCGGCGTGGAGCAAGGGGCGGAGCATGTCACCTGCAGGCAAGAAACCAGAGACAAATTTTAATGACTGAAAAACTCAATGAATTCATTAAATGAAGGAGAAATGTGACTAAAGATGCAGGACTTCAGTCTGTTTCTTTTTTTGTCTGAGAACAGGTAAAAAGCTAAAAGCTGAAAACTACACACTGACATCTTTTTGGAAACCATTTTTGTTGTGCCATATAATCAACAACAATGTCTCTCAGAAAGAGGAGTCCGCCTCCACTTCTGTCACCCACCCTCACTGGATTTCCAGCGGATCAGCAAGTTGAGGGAGCGAACAGTCCCGAAGGTGACCTGTTGGGTCAGGTCGTAAACGGAGAAGGTCCGCCTGTCCCCCAGCACCACAGCCTGGCTCAGCAGCGGAGTGGCTGGGATGAGCTCAAACAGCTCCTCCTGCAAAATAAAATCAGCTTTGATCAACTTAAAACGGCTGCAGAAATTTTCCATCTTTGAATTTGGGTAATAAAACTTTAAAAAGTCTCTCCTGTATGAATTCAAAATAACTTTAATCTTAACACTGCTTTGAGCATTTTTTTTTATTTCTTTTACATTCCAATATTTTACATTTTACATACGTAAATACAGGAGGAACAACTTCTACTCTGAAGCTGTTGGACTCATAAATAAATCCCTAATCAGGATTATCAATGTGGGGGAAAAAATCACTGTAATGCCACTTTGATTGTTGATATGTGCTGCTGATTATCCATGCTGTTGAAATCATGCTGCTGATTTGTTTCATGTTGCTGTGTTCATTCTTACTCATCTACTCATGGTCATGCTGCTGTTGTTCGATGTATTGTTTTGCACCATTAGTGTTTAGCGTATTTCTTAGTTTAGTGTATTTCTTAGTTTATATCTTAGATCCTTAGTGCTGTTTCTTTTACAATTTATATTTTTGCTATTGTTGGATGTAATTGGGACCCTGTGTACACAATTTCCTTTCACCTCATGTACCACATGTGATGTGAATGACAATAAAAGAACCTTGAACTTGAGTCTTTGAAATTAAATAATAAAAAGCAGATGTGAAAATCCAACCTGTGGGTTGTCTGTGATGTCGATGTATATTTTACTGGAGAAGGCCAATGGGCAGGCTTCAGTCAGTGTCCGAGAGAACATCTTGAACAGAGACCACTCTAAAGAAAAAAAAAGGAAATGGGGTGGTTAAACTCAACTGATGGCTAAAAGCAGGAAAAAATAGCTTTTTATCCCACCTCGTTTGCCCTGTCCAGAGGTGTGTAGGTCAAAGACAACATTCAGTGTCTGCCTCAGCTCCCAGGACGTAGTTTTGCACAAGGAGTCTTGACACACTGGTCTTATGTGCACTGCCTGAGAATGAAAACTGCTGTGGAAGAGTTTCTCCGACTTCAGCAGCACAGCGAGACCAGCCTGTAAATTCACAATAGCCAGAGGAAAAAAAAAAAAATGTTGGCAAGTTTAACACAGGAGGCTCAGACAAATACACATAAAGAAATTTACCTTGGACCCACATGGCAACAGTTTCTTCCAAGGTGTCAAATTCTCAGTGCAAACAATTTCCCGTGGGAGGGTGGCATAGCGAAGGAAGCGATGGTCTGTCACTTAAATGTCAACGAAAAACAGAAATCAGTGTACGAAAGTGCATCCTGGACAGACGGCTCCCCTGAATTTCTTTACTTCTCTGCTTCTGTTATTTACTGTCTCAGAAAGCAACAAGTACAAAAAACAAAATGTAACTTTTGACTGGATGCAATAGCTTGTAGTGACAAAATATTTGTGATGTCTGGTCACATCACTGGTGAGACTGGAGAAATATTACGATACCGTTGGCTATCCCCAGGGGTTTGAAGGAGGCGCTGGGCTGAACAGTATTGGTGGAGTCAATAAAGTTCAGTGAAGCACAGAAGATGCCTGACAAAACGTTGGTCAGCTCCTTCCATGTGGCATCCACGCTAGAAAAGGTAGAAAAACACAAGACAGAAAATACAATGACTAACATACACAGTACATGGTAGCAAAATATTAAGTAAATAGTATACTAGGTGCTAAAATTAAAACCTAGTTGTCACTCTGGATATGTCAGAAGTGTTTTCCATCAAAAAGGCATCCGTCGGTTCAAATGAATGAATGCAGGAATTAAATATTAAATATAAATTCTGATTTTATCCATCTGACAAGCCTTCAGAACATGAAGCCACTACACTTAGCAGATGATTCTGGTCTTACAGTTTAATTTCTGACCAAAAAACATATAGTAATTTAATACTTCTTTATAGAGAATATTTTCTTTATATTCCAGAAATCTGGCTCAATTGTAGAATCGCTAGCGCTCTACAGCCAGCAGAGGGCTGTACTCACTCCGTCACAGTGTCATGAAACCAAACCCAGAGTTCAGCTCCTGGAGGGGATGGGAGATAAGGCTGCCCCCACTGCATGGTCCTCCAATAGCCCTGAGTGAAGGAGATGTGCAGCTCTCGCACAGAGAACTTGGAGATGACCTGACCCAGAGATTTGGGAAACAGCCGATAGTGGGACACTAAAAAAAAAAAAAATGGAGCAACACTGTGAGTGATGACATCATTTACCAAATGAATAAAAGTGAACTAGATTTTTCACTTTAAGTTCCAAATTGCACAAAAATAAAAACACATACAATGCAAAATACAACAAAAGGTTCAAGCACAAATTGGATTGTTTTAACCGAATATAGGTTTATAAACTTGGACTTTCTCAAAGTTGGAAATTTAAGAGATTTTACAAAGAAAATGCTGTGAATTTTGTCCAGACTGTTATCCCACTGTTGCTGTTCACACATGCACAGCAGGAGACATTGTGCTAAAGGATGAATTCATAGCTTTCACAGCTGTAAATACAAAAGTAGGAGTGGGGTAGAGAGTTTTAAAGCTAAGAGGAAGTTAAATATGATGCAGAAATCTTGAGAATAGTTGATTTTTTCATGATACAAACAAAACATACAAGTGTTCCCTACTGTTCATATTCAAACTACTGTTTATATTCATACCACTGTTAACATTCACACTACTGTTTATATTCACACTACTGTTTACATTTGCACTACTGTTTATACTCACACTGCTGCTTATATTACACTACTGCTGATATATAAATATATTATTTTACTAGTCTTATTGCATATACCATACCATACCAATTTATTTATATAGCACTTAAAACAGCAACAAGGCCAACCAAAGTGCTGTACAAAAGAACCAAACATGCACAGCAGACAGGAAAACATAAAATAGAAATACAGATACAAATAGCAGCAGAAGCTAACTAAAATGGCCAACAGAGTAGAGAACAGACCGGACCAAAACAAATCACACCCTGTTAAAGGCAAGCGAATAGAAGTGGGTCTTCAAGCGAGACTTAAAGACTGAGAGTGTGGGAGCCTGCCGGACACTCAGTGGCAACTCATTCCACAGTCGTGGACCTGCAACAGAGAAAGCCCTGTCACCTCTGAGCTTACGACGGGTTTCTGGGACTGAGAAGCATCTGGTCACTTTACCTACACCAATATCAAGGACTTCATACATACACTGTGTACATTCACTTCATATGCTGCTTTGCTACTGACTACAAATATCAATGTCAGGACTTTCATTTAATTTAATTTTATTTTATAGATATACTTTTTTAAATATTTTTTATACTGTATAGTACAATTTAAGACAGTATCATGCTTTTATTATTTCATTTTATGCTTATGTTTAATAAATGTTTTAATGTTAAATGGTTATTGTTGCACCGGGTTCTGAGGGAATTGTAATTTCAATCCTGTGTATGTCCTGTACATATTGCAGCTTTTGACAATAAAGTGACTTTGACTTGAAGTGACAACATGAAAGTGTAAAGTAACCCAAAGTTCAGCAGAAAAAATAAAAAACAGTAAGTTCTTCAAATAAACTCTTTCCTGCTCACATTAACCGACTCAAGTTTACTGTCTGTTAAAATTTTCTGAGATAATCTTGAAAGCTGACTGAAAAGACTGCCTTTGCATTTAAAGCCCCCCACCCTACCAAAAAATCTACAAAAACAAATCAGAACTGCAAGACATGCGTCTCTTTTTAATGGATCAGAAGAACAAATTTTAAAAAGACATTTGTAAAGGAAAAAAATAAAGAACTCTAAACACCTCTCAGGAACAACAGAAACCTTTTTAAGGTGAAAATTACGATCATCATCAAGCACTTGACTTCATCGCCTTTATCACACAGGCACTGGTTTTTGAAAGAGTATGCTTATTTCAAATTCAAAAAAGCGTTCAATACAAAAACAACTGGACTTTATTTGTAACAGAAGACGTTTCGCCCCTCATCCGAGGAGCTTTCTCAATTCAAAGTGCAGTGAGTGAGAGATTCAGGTTATAAGGCTGAGTGAGATAAGAAACGTCTTCTGTTACAAATAAAGTCCAGTTGTTTTTGTATTGAACGCTTTTTTGAATTCATCATGTCCTGGATGACTGAGAATCTTCATCAGCTTATTTCAAGTTGAAAACAGAAAACATCCCATTATTTACAATAATTTCAGTATTGATTTTACATAGAAGCTGATGGATTATCCACTTTGCCTCAGTCTATATTGAATGACTGAAAAAAAAAAAAAAAAACTGAACTCAACTGTTTCCTTTATAAATGTTACCTGTAAAATTCACTTTATATGGGTACACTGATAACGTTTGGGGTATTTATATTTAAAATAAGCTATTACTATATCATAATTACAAGATATGGATTATAATGCTTAACAGTTAAAAAAAAAAATTAGATATATTGCCAATTACACACACACAGACATACCTTTGTTTCCACTCATAAAATCTGTTTGCCAAAGGGTACGGAACTGGAAGCTGGCATAAATATCCCCTGAGTGCAGCGGCCTGACCACCAGCTCCTCCTGAAAATCATCTTTGTGTTGTGGTGTGGAAGTTAACACCGTCGACTCAGAAGCAGGAATGTCTTGTTTTTCGGCTGCAGCATCTTCCGCCCGAGTCGCCTCCCATCGTCTCTCCTCCACCGAGGGCTCCTCGGCCGTTTGCTTCTCGGTTTCTGCGTCTGTCTGTAGATTTTCGACCGCGCTAACGAGGTGGTCACTAGCGAGCGTCGTTTCATGACTGCCTGCAACTAAAATCACCGACAAACTGATAATAAAAACCAGCCAAGCTGACCAACTGCCCCTGTGAGCTGCCATCTTTGTTTTAGGTAGGCGCAGTTAACTTCCGCCTTCAGGCGTCACGTGTGAGAACCAGCCAATAGGCAGGTTTCATATGAAGTCACGTGACTCCTACATGAACTTGCCTTAAAATGTATAACAATACAGTACTCAGCTTTTTTTTTTGTTATATAACATTGTAAAAAATCCCTTCACGATCTTCTGACCATAAAATCCATGAACATAGACTCCTTCTCCCTTCAGAATGTCTTATATGGATATGTATCTGAAAATAAAAAAGATGAATACTTTGTTAATAGCATTATCATAATACTAAAATTCTATATACATAAATGCAGATATGGCAAATCTAAGCCATTATGGTCTGTATTCATACAAGAACTCCAGATGTTAAAACTTTCATTGGACAGTGCTAAAAAAACACATGCAATAAAGCTCTTGCTTCAGATAATATAGCTCTCTGACAAACTATTTTAGTAATTATGTAGAATGCTAGATATATAGTTCTGTGTTTTTTGAATTTACTTGTATCATATTATGTGCAATCTCTTTGATAATAATATTACCTAAATTTAATTTAATGATGGTTGTTATGATAATTTGTTTAAGAATATGTTGAATTTAGGCGTTATTACAGAAGATATTTTTACACGTTTATATCTGAGTTTGTCATTTATTCTGTTAGTGTGTTCACTTTTTCTGTATGTTGAATTGTTCAATAATATATATATATATATATATATATAACTTTGTAAAATATCAGATCTTTAATTTTATTTTACTAATAATACTGAGAGCAGATCAACTCCATCAGCATCAGACCAATATTAATATATGTTCATGCATTTCAACATATTTTAAAATGGAGCTTTAAAATCTGTTTTAGTAGCTTGACTTTATATGACATTAGTTTAGCTGCCTGCACCCAACAGAGTATTGACTTAGATTTATTTAGTAATTTAAGTGTAATTTTTTTTTCTTCCCCCCTTGTCCTGTCTGGCATTGTGACACTTAGAATTATTGTCTGAGTGTCAAAGTGACGCCCAACAGAATTTCAGTTTAATTTGAACAGAAGTAATACAAAAAGCTGCTGATCTCATGCTGCTGATTATTTCATGCTGCTGTATTTATACCCATCCGCTCACCATGGACTCATCTTTGGGTTGCTCTTGTTATACTGTATTGTTTTGCATTATTAGTGTTTAGCATAGTTTATCATATATCTTGGTGTATATCTTAGATCCTTACTGTTTCCTTTTACACTTTATATTTTTGCTATTGTTGGGTGTAACTGAGACCCATTTCGTTCCACCTCATGTACCACATGTGATGGTAATGACAATAAACCTACCTGAACTTGAACCCGAAACATTGTGTTGAATGGATGACTTCTATCCAGTGTATTTGCAGTTCTTGTCTCTGGTTAAAAATTTAAGGAAGGTAAATTTACTGATGGAAAAAAATCTACTATTCTAAATTAAACAGTGGAACTAAAAATATAGGGGGGAAAATACATATAAAACAACACATAAATGAAAACAAGAGGGGAGGGAAAGTGTCAGCGTACAGATATTTCTTGGTTTCAACTATTGTTTTGTTCTAGAAATAAAAACTTTAAAATCATAGAACTTGTTTTTTATGGTAAATTGTTCCAGATCTAAACAAAATATTTATAAAAAAAATATTAATGTATATTTTCCGGTTTACATGTAGTTGATAATGCCAGCATACCTCCTGTTTTTGTTATTTTCCTCTGGAACCTACACAAATAACACGTATCTATTCTACAAATGAAAAATGTTTATAAATGCCAAAAAAAAAAAAAAAAGTTCTAGTTGTGTGTGGTTTATAGTGCAGCATCATGGGGGAATATTTGATTGTGTCGCTGGCTGGACAGGGATGGGCATCATCATCATCATCATCAACCCGTCCGTACCGTCGGGGGGCATCTCACCCCTCCCATATCCAACCCAGACACACTCACGCGCGCACACATACGCGCGCGCGCTCAGCCATGGCTCTCTGGTAGATGCTCAAAGCGGCTGTTGTCAGAGCGAATTAAATCCAGCGTCGCGCGCCGCTTTCCTCCTGACCTTGCTCGCCTCCGGTTTTTATTTATTTATTTATTTATTTCGCAATTTAAATATTTCATCCAGGATTCCTGCGCTGCCTCTCCATGGCTACATCGGATGGACTAGACGGCTGTCTGCACCGAGGCAGATCTCAAAGTGACCCGAACATACTCAGCGAACCGGGCGTTGAATTGTCTCACGGCACAGGTAGGATGGCCGTCATGGCGTTATCTTAATTTTAAATATATCCATAGTCTCCATGTGTGTTTGATCGCTGCTGCTGCTTTGACGCTGGGAGGATGAGAGACAATTAGCGCATCCTCTTCCAGCACGGTCGAATATTGACTGAACGCTGAATCGTGGCGCTGCAAATTGAAAATTAATGTGCCATACCACCGACTATGAATGGCTGCACGCCTCGCCGGATGTTAGAAAGACGCCTGTAGCTCCACGGCCTGACACGGGATTTCATTTGCGGGGTGGGGGTGGGGGTGGGGGTCTGATTCCGACGTGTGCAACTTGTGCTTTTATGCAGCGATTTCTGTTGGCAGCCATCCTCCACACAGACACCGTCTAGCATCACAAAATCCCGCATGCTTCATATTTATCCAAAGCCTGTGCACTGCCCCCATCATTACAGGGAGGGTGGGGGCGGGGGGGCGGGTGGATGGGGGGACTCTGGGTCTTTACATGTTGCATAAAAAAAAGGGGTCATGCACATGTTATTTTGGGCTGCTTAAACCTCCTGCATATTGACAGCACTGACCCCCACCCCCCACCCCCCACCCCCTCATACTGAACTGATGACTGGATGTGATCAATGCCAGCCAGTCCACGTGATGGAAGCCATAGGTGGAGTTATCCCCAATTCAGCACCGGCTCTGAAGGGAATATTTCATGATGTCCTGCTGGTGTTGCATCCAACATGGAGCCCTTGTTTTGCGCCTGTTAGTCCTCCTCTTAAATATGACACGGGCTAATGAAAGCATCTTTCAGTATCAGCACCAGAGAGCATTTGTGGTCTACACTACTTTGGCAAATCTGCAGCATTTTCTGTAAGTGTCTGCCTTTTAAATTTGTCCATCTACTGAACATGCATGGATTGATTTTTACGTAAGTGGAGGCTATTTATGATCATACTGTGTGGGCTTGGAAAGACTCATTGCCTCCTCCCACACATGGCAAGTTTTACGCACATGAAGAATGCTCGAGTGAATGATTCAGAAAAACAAAAAAGGAAAAAGCAATGGAGCTCACCTTTCAACTCATCACTAATGAGACACGTTTATTTGTACCTGCCTGCACTCGTCAGCTGGCCACATGGCACGTTCTTAATGGGGTCCTGTTGAATTCAGCCCTCCAAAGGATGGTTTAATTCACACATAGGTGAATGCGATGATGTCACACTGGGGTCCTTGACACACCTGAACAAACAGCACAGCAGTTTGGCAGATCCGACATGCAAGTGAGGACAGCGGACGCTGAAAATCAACCTCTGACAGAGCAGTTTGCGCATGTGCAGGTCATGCAAATGAAAGACGGAATGAACAGCGAAGACAATGTCAGTGTCTCTGGTGACCCAAAGTACACAGCACCGCCCATCCCTTCTCTCTGTAGATCATTACTGTTCGAGTGTCTGGGGCACCAGTCTTTGCCAAAGTAATCTTTTGGCAAAGAGAGACCTTTTTTCTGCCAGGACAGTGGCTTATGCAGCTGCAGAGGCTGACTGTATTCATCCACTGACTCAACACAGACTGGAAGAGTCAATAGAGACAACACAGCTAAGCATCTCAGGGAATGACAGTGATGTTGTCTTTAAAATATGATCATCAGACTCTTGTCTCCTGTAATATATTTATTGAAATTACCGACAATGACATTTTAAATTGTGCCAACTCTCTTTGAATTGCAGATTTACCTCAAACTTATAAACCCAGCAGTGTAATAACTTATTTACTCAGTTCATTTAGCCAACCGCCTCTTGGATTCCCCTGCTAATAAAATGTCACTTTCACTCAAGGCTTTGCTTAGTCATTGCACAGTGTGGACCGAGGTAATGGTGTGGAGAGGACACCTTGACGCTTTGCAGACGTGAAGCCTGTCCAGGGATGTCTGTTTTTGTACATTTGTTCCATGAACTGACTCACCTGTCCAACGGGAAGTTGCACTCATAGATGCAAACACTTGCTGACAAAAACAATATTCTCCTGAAGAAATAACATGAAATTAGTTTATTACCCAGTTTGTTATTTTTAATTAATGAGCTCAAGATGTAAATGACCAATTACATCTTTGGTGAAAATCCCACATGTTATTAACAAGTAAGCTTCTAATGATACATCACTTTGCACTTGTCCTCCCCCACAGAGGACGATGATAAGTGCAATACTTCCCAGAGCTCATGGATATGCAAAACCTTGACACACCGTTAGACAGTTTCTAACCTATACCTGACACCTTTTGATAAATGTTTTATGGGCCTCATCTTCCTCCTGTGGTGGCGCTGATATCTGACAGAAGAATCCCAGAGGATTCAGGTATGGAGCACCAGTTATTACCATTAAGACGTGGCACAGCTGATATTGGTTCGTTGAGCAAATTCTTGTGCACAATTCTTCTCTTATACATTCTGGTTTCGGTGAGTAAATATAAGAAATTTATGAATCAGCAGGGCCTTATGTACAGTGCTCTACATTTAGCTAGATATTTTTTTTGTTTAAAATTATGAAAAAACAAGTACGCAGAAGAAGATTAGTGCCACAGGAGTTCTTTACGCAGCACTGGTTTACCACAGACACGCTTGTAAGGGTGTCCTTCTTAAGCTGGACACAATTCATCACTCTGCTTTGTTACAAATACTCTTTATAGAACATACCTCTACTATCTGGTGAAATGGCCTTCTCTACATGCTCGTCATGAAATTCATTGGTTTACCGTCATTTATAAGCCGTTGCTGAGTTATTCATCTCCATATCTACTGCAACTAGCACCGGTTTCGAAGTATAACACCCGATCCTCTCAGTATTTGTGGTTAACAACTCTAAAGACCAAGTCTCGCTTTGGCTCTGTGGCCTCTGCTGCTCCATCTGACTGGAATCTGCTTCAAAAAAACTTTGAGACTGACCTCGCTCGTCTCAGGTTCTAGTTTTAAAAATTGTTTAAAAGCCATGTTTAAAGATACTTGCAAATGTTTTCATGCTTAGTAATGTAGTAGTTTAACTTTGACAATGAACTGCTGTTAATGTAATTTGTGATTTCCTTGTTTGTTATTGACTTCTATATTTTATTGCTTTGCCTATTGTTTCCCTTGACCCTACAAGTGTCTGTTGGTGCTTCCAGGCCAGCGCTGTAAATAAGAATTTGCTCTTAGTGTTTATGCCTGATTAAGTAAAGGTGAAATGAAATATTTTAAAATGCTGGTTTAAAGTACACGTTGCTTTAGAATATTTCTTGTTGTGAACAGTCTTTGTTATGTCTTTAGATATTCTGAGGATTTGGGTTAAGGAAGTTAAAATGCCCATTTTCATAAAAAACAGGTAAAAAAAGCAAACTCTTGTAGTCAATAGAGGTACTTAGTTAAATAAATAGCTCTTACTCTAACATAATTATTTTTACAAAATCTATATGTGTTGACCAAATCAACTTGATGACTCTGATAAGCAGGTGAATAATTTCTTACCCTGTTAAAATGAAGCAATTAAGTAACATCACTGTTGTGGATAAGGGTAAATGAATTAATAAAAGCTTGAGTTAGAGGATAATTGCTCCAAACTGTGAACTGTGGAGCTCACCAGGTGCTGAAATAAAAACAAAGGCAGGAAATAATTGTTCCCTCAGTTTAAGAACCCACAGAACCAACAGACATCATTCTGTTTGAGAACAAACAGAAGATTATTGTTTGGGTTCAGTAACATTGGAAAACTGGTCTAATTCCTATTGTCAGGCTTAATAATTTCTTAACAATGTACAGTAAAACTGCAATCCTTAACTCTGACAACACAAAGTAAACAGTACTCTACAGCCTCATTTTAATCAAAAAGTCACATTCTAAGCTAAACAATGTTGAGGAGTCATCAATAAAATAAGGACAATCATTCTCCAAAGTTTTGCAAAACAGCCTCATTTAAATATCAGAGTGTCACCAACAAAAGACACAAATGACTAATTTGTGAATATCTGATGTGAGTTTAGTTTCATCATTGGCATGTTATCGACATTATATCCAGATTATTGAGCATGCATCAGGATATTATATCCAGATGTTGCATTTTGTAGACCACTTTGGTGTTGTGTTTACTTCTATTGGCCCATTTATGTTTACCCCCTCAGCTCCACACTGAAAACAAGACAACACAACTGCTACAAATCTATGCATACAGTTTAGTAAATGTGACAGACGCCCCCCCCCCCACCCCCCGAAACCTTTGTTTTTGTTTCGCTCCCTGAACCTTGACAGTATTGAAAGACTTTACCATTTATAAGTATAAGTGCTATGGGTTGTCATCGCTGTATGTTCCCATACAATGGTGAAATTAGTCCTCTGCATTTAACCAATTGCACCTGGGTACCCCAGGTGGAGCAGTGGGCAGCTATGTAAGCACCCGGGATGAATTGGGGGTTGTGTGTCCTGCTCAGAGACACCACTACATGTGGGAATGACTGGTGATCAAACCTGGGACTTTCAGGTCCCAAGTTGGTAAGTCTTATAAATTAAGTGTTGAGCTTTAAGAAACTCAGACCATGTTTATGGTATCAATCAGATTCATGAGTAATACAAAGTTTTGTCTCTCCAACCCTTATTAATAATGCTAGTTTACAAATGCTGGAACAGTGTTTCATGATGACTTACAACATCCTCAAGAGTTTAAAGCAGTGATTCCAAAAGCTGTAATCACTTATGAAATATCAAGTGGAACTGAGTGTTAAGATCTCAAGAAAATGCATTAAGATAACTGCCTACAATAAAGATAATTGCATGTGTCACTGTAATTGTTACAAGAGATAATAGGATCCATAAGGGATTGAACTGAAAAAAATACTACTAATATTTACTGAAGTTGTTATTTGTTATTATGCCCTCTTTTAAAAATTACCTTTTAGGGTAGGCCTCTTGGGTTTTTTTATTTATTTTTTTGGCTTTGGTTTGTTTTGTTAGGTTTTGGTGGGTTAGAAGCTGGAAAATTTGAAAACCACTAGTTTAGATAAAA